GATCACGAGGCTGAGCGGGAAGAGAGAAAGAGAAAGAGAGAGAGGGAGAGAGAGAGAGAGAGAGAGAGTGAGAGAGAGTAGGAGAGTATGGTTTCGTTAGATACACTATTTTAAGATGAAGAGCCCTCGCTGGGCTTGATATTTGTTGCACACTAAAGAAGACTGTTGATGCTGTTTGTTGGGTCTGTGTGCGTGTGTGTGTGGTGGGCTGAACAGCTGTGACCCGTCACCCAAGATGTCCAGCCCGTGGTCATGAAGAGCCCTGTTTTTTGGCCTGCGTTCAGACGGGCCTCTGGCTTCTGGCCAGTCAGCTGTTCAGTGCTTAGTGGTCAATCCAGCACTCAGCAGAGGCCGATGCCATGGCCATTCACTGTGGTTACAATGACTATTGACAGAGAGACAGTGACAGCACAAGAATAGGCTGTACAAACCAGAGCGATTATATTGCTTCACACTGTGATTACAAATTGAGCTGAAACATATTAATACACAGTGTTCAACATTAGGCTTAGTGCTCCTACGGTACCAACAGAACCACTTCAACACCACTCAGTTCTAAAAACTGAGTGTCATTTAATACTGAATTTCAGTCCGAATAAGTACTCAGTCTTGTCAGTATTATACAATAAGTAGGGATGTAACACTACTGTGAACCTTTCTGGCCAAAAGATGGTCAAAAGAGGCACTTTTGTTTTTTTTACATATCAAAAAGGCCACATTTTGACCCCCAAACACAAATGATTAAATAAAACTACAACAAAGGCTGTTTTCACACCTCATTTGTTTGATAAATCCAGACCAGAGTTTCATTTGGTTCAATTGGTTTCACTCTGCAACAGCTCAAGTGCACCAAATTACACATGCGATTCTTGGTTTATTGGTCAGACATTTCGCAGGGATATTAGCGCTCTGAACTCTCACATTTGCCCCCATATGAGGCAAAATATTGATACATGCTTGAAAAATAGAAGCACTAAATGTCATTGTGCATCACGTTCAAAGTAATAATAATACACCAGCACTGCTGTGTCTGATCCACTCAGACCAGCACAACACACACTAGCACACCACCACCACGTCAGTGTTACTGCAGTGCTGAGAATGATCCACCACCCAAATAGTACCTGCTCTGTGAGGGTCCATGGGGGTCCTGACCACTGAAGAACAGGGTAAAAGGGGGCTAACAAAGTACACAGAGAAACAGATGGACTACAGTCTGTAACTGTAGAACTACAAAGTGCACCTATACAGTAAGTGGAGCTGATAAAATGGACAATGAGTGTAGAAACAAGGAGGTGGTCATAATGTTATGCCTGATTGGTGTATGTTTGGCTAATACACAGGTCTGCACCAATCAAATGAGCCGTGGTCTGGCAGCAATTCCAGGTCTCAGTTTGCTTCCAAGTGGTTCAGTTTGCCATTGGTGGTAAAATGTTTTTGTGATGGTCCACACCATACAAGGGTGTACCAGTGGGTCAGGAGACTGGCACATAGGGAATTCAGCATCAGAGCATGCTTTTCTGCTCCTTCTAGCAGCACGTCAGCGCTGTACTACCCACATAATCTGCCTGTTGTAACATCTGACTCTTCACAGACACTCATATCGCTGCTGTCGGAACAAAACTTCGTATCTCCATTTTTATTGTTTGTCAGTTTTTGACATAATTTGAAAACACCTGCTGCCCTTTACATTGTGTGTAAATTTCATGATGAACCGACCAAAACAAGCGGCCCAAAATGACTTGGAAAAAATTCTGGTTCCATTGACTTACATTGAAAGCAAAGTAGGTTTTTTCCTTCTCCTGTAAAGTTACCATTTTGAAGATACAAGGTTTTGTTCTGATATAGTTCCTGCAGCGTGAGCTGTGATATAGTTCCTGCAGGGTGAGCTGCGCTAATAACAGCAGAGCAATAAAACAATAGCAAAACAATGCCTTTGATTTTGGCACATGGATCAGCGACCTGACTGCTTACATTCAAATTGAGCAATCATAAAGAAGCAGATATCAAGAAGAGGACAGAATCAAGCTGCTTCAGATCTGAAACAATCACATCCATCCTTCCACTGTGAGAAGACGACTCAGCGCTGTGGGTCTGAAAGGATGTGTAGCTGTCGAGAAGAACCTCACTGAGAAAAGGAGACGGACACATCAAACAAAGAAGCTGAACAATGGACTGACCACTCCAGAGTCCAGACCTCAACACCACTGAATGTTTGATTACTTCAGAAAACGATCAGCCAACTTCTAAGACTGAACTTTGGAGATGTGGAAAAACATCCCTGCAGATTCAGCTGCGTCGCTTTGACCAGCCGTTGCTCACAGGAATGGGTTTTCACACCATCATGCCAGCTTTCAACAGGTTTTGAGAGCAGCGCAGAAAACGATCATCAAACGTACACACGTTCACATCAAATGTCATCAATCAGCCAAGACATGTTTAGTGTCCGAAATTTGCCAGAACTACGAGGTTAATGTAGCAAACAAGTGATAAAAGCTTCTGATCATATCAATTAAATTTGACTGGTTTTCAAACTGATATTTGATGGCGTATTTACTGTCCTCTGGAGGAGCAGAAGGTTTAGGCGAGTTAGCCAACACATCTGTGTTTTATTCATTTTACTGCATTTGTAACCCTACACTGATAGAAATAAATGTTATATTTCTCTGTAAAGCTAATACAGGGAGATCTAGTCCAAGTTTCCACATTTAATAGATGTTTATGAATTGGCATTGGCCGATATGTGCATTAAAAAAATATCAGCCCATAATTCCCATATTGGTGCAATTAGTATGGTGCTAACTGCATGTATAAATCATCACACTCGCCCCAAACTGTGTGTTCAGTATCTCTAACAGACATGATTATGTGGTTTCTGACGCTGTATGATACACTGCTATCTATAAACACATGTTTCTGCAACTACAGGCAGTTTTGGCTGCGCAAATTTTTTAGAAAAACAGTGTCACATGACTACTACAACAGCGCTGTGGTAAAGACTTCCTCACTGTTTTCGAGTATAAATGGTAAACTGGCATGTCCTGTTACATAAGCTATGCTAAGGAACTCCAGAGACATTAGACTGGGTTTGCACATGCACTCTCTGAATAATCTACGCTTCAAAGTAGGTTTGGCTTGGAAAAAAAAAAACATTATTTTAGGTCATGTGGTCAGTGTTGCAGTAAGCACATATAAATGTAGGAGAGACATACATTATATAGCCAAAGGTATGTTGAGACCCCTCCCTATTATGGAATTTATGTGTTTCAGCCACAGTCATTACTAACAGGTGTATAAAATCAAGCACATAGCCATGCAACCTCCATAGACAAACACTGGCAGTAGAATGGGTCAGACTGAAGAGCTCAGTGTGCCACTGTCATAGGAGGCCACAAGTTTGTGAAATTACCGCCCTGCTAGATCTGCCCTGGACAACTGTAAGTGCTATTATTGTGAAACGGAAGCATTTAGGAGCAACAGCAGCTCAGAGAAGTAGGAGACCATGCAAACTCACAGAGTGAGGCCACAAAGTGTGTAAAAATCTCCTATACTCTGTTGCATCACTCAGTACAAAGTTCCAAACTGCCTCTGGAAGCAACATCAGCACAAGAACTGCGCATTAGGAGCTTCATGAAATGGGTTTCCATGGCACACAAGCCTTAGATCACTATGCGCAATGCCAAGCGTCGGCTGAAGTCGTGTAAAGCGCACTGGCACTGGACTCTGCAGTGGAAACGTGTTCTCTGGAGTGATGAATCACACTTCACTAGATGGGAGTCTGATGGAGGAATCTGGGATTGGCGGATGCCAGGAGAACATCACCCAACAGAATGCAGAGTGCCACAGGAAGTTTGGTGGAGGAGGGATAATGAGCTGGGGCTGTTTTTCAGGGTTTGGGCTCTTAGTTCCAGTGAAGGGTGATGTTAAAGCTACAGCACACAAATACATTTTAGACACTCATATGCTTCCAGCTTTGTGGGAACAGTTTAGGGAAGAGTCTTTCCTGTTCCAGCATGACTGAGCCCCCCGTGCACAAAGCAGCTCCACAAAGACATGGTTTGACCAGTTTGGTGTGGAGGAACTCCAGTGACCTGCACAGAGTCCTGACCTCAACCCCACCGAACACCTTTGGGATCAATTGGAATGTCAATTGTGAGCCAGGCCTTCTTATCCAATATCAGCGCCTGACCTCACAAATGCTCTTTTGACTGAATGGCCACAAAAAAGCTAAAAGGGTAGATGCTGTTATAGTCAGACAGCTCCACAGCCAGGCCTCATCAGTCTGGCGTCCATGTTAAGTTTATGCTAAACCCCAAAAGACTGGCCTTTCCTTAATACCCCTACCTCAAAACCAAAGTGGACTCCTTTGTATGAAATAGACTAGACAGTCACCAAACTTCTTAACTGATTCACAATAATAGGGAAAAAACTTTTTTGGGCCAAACTATTGCTTTAATCATCTTTGCCAAACATTTCTTCATTCAGCCTGGGAGGTAATGATTTTCAGAGGTATGAACTCTCACACATTATGAAAGTTGTCCATTCCCGGACTTCAACCTCCCACAGTGCCGCTGATCCTGTGCGCAGCACTGCTTAATTCACCCGAAAATCAAAAACAAGCCCCAGTGAACAATGCAAGTGATCTAATAAAAGCTCATCAAAAACTCTCAACTGCGGCAGATGTGCTTTAGTTAGGCCTCCAATGGCTGTATGGCATCCAAACCCTGGAGCCTTGGTCCAACACTCCTTTCATCTCCCGTCACATAAGGAGGCCCATTCGCTCGCCTCACAAGCGCATACATACCAACCCCACGAGCCCTGCTGCAACACGTTCGGCCAGCGTCTGCACATTGCATGACTTACTCCAACATTGGCATGTTTGAGAAAAACCACAAGGGCTGCTTGTTGTCAAACGCAGGAGCCGGTGCTGGCTGTAAACAGAGGTGTTATGTAAGTGATCGGAGGTGCTGAGTAAGGAGGAGAGGGAAAAGGAGCCCTACCATGCAGTCTCCACCCCACTAAGCGCGCCTTCTAAAGCTGCTGGGTCATGAGAAACTCTAACACAGGTGAAAACAGACCCCTCCACAGCCAGCAGCCTCTTCTATCCAGCTTCTGTCTCTTTTTCAATACTGCACGGTGGACGTTTCCCTATAGATTTGCATGTGTTTGCATGTATACGATTCTCTCCTTTAAGTATAAGGGCCCTCTGTGTTGTCTAGTATGGACACCCACATGGTATATAATCACATCATCAGCGCTGCAGGGCAGCCACACAGCGTAAACGTTGTATGTCAGGATTGGCACCAGAGTAAAGGTGGGTGATATGGCAGAATTTTAACACTATGAAACATTTTCACAATATTCAGACGGGAATATCGTGACAAAATGCAGTAAAACAGACCCACAATGAAAACTGTCTGGGAAGAAAAATCAATTGGTGAAAATAAATTAATTAATATAATAAAATAACCTATAAAAATAATAACTTTTTCAGTGCAGTGTCTGTGGTTACACTGTACACGGGTTGTTTTTACAGTAGGTTTCAAACTGTAGGTTGTGTGGGGATAAGTAGGTCACAAGAGTGCATATTTTCCCAATATAACTCAATTACAGAGGACCATACTGACCAATTTTAAATGCAGCCAGTATTTAAATTTATAACAAGTAGGCAGCACAAGCTCTACACCCGTCAGCTGCGGTTGAAGCCCTCATTCTCTGGAGCCTAGCATAAATGCTAATAACGGTAGCTTCCTAATTAGTTTACAGTGCTGTGAAAAAGTATTTGCCCCCACCCGATTTCTTCTATTTTTTCAAATTTGTCACATTTAAATGCTTTACCTCATCTAGCTTATTTTAATATAAGATAAAAGATAAATATTCCTTTTATTAAAGATAAAAACTTAAAAAGTAATAAAGTAATTGCCCCTCCACAAGAAAACCCACTACAAAGCTGAAGTTGGCTTTTTATTTGGCTTTTTATCTGTTCGAATTTTCCGGTCCACCTTAAATGGAGCAGCGGTCACATTCTGGCACCTGTACAAGTTTTTGCATGTGACTGTTGCACCATTTAAGGTGGAACGGGAAATTTGTCTCATACGTGTGTCCCGTACACTCGCCCTTTCCGACTATCGGACACCGCTGGAACTTGGAAAATAATTACAGTCAGTCATTCACGATTCAGTACCAGCTTGTTGCACAGACAAGGCCGGGAGACTGTGACACCGTCTGATGTGGCTGACTTAGTCTGACAGCTCCACAGCCAGGCCTCATCAGTCTGGTGTCCATGTTAAGTTTATGCTAAACCCCAAAAGACTGGCTATTCCTTAATATCCCTACCTCAAAGCCAAAGTGGACTCCTTTGTATGAAATAGACTAGACAGTAGGAGGTGATCTAGGCTCTGCTGCATTTCCACTTTCATTTGAAATGTGACCGAAACATCCCTGACTCAGCCATTCAGCTACACAGGGTAACGCTGGTGTGATTTGCACTGTTTGTATGTGCTGTTATCTGAGTTTATTTGTTGCATACTGGTGTAACGATTATGATGAAACTCATACTTGAGGAATTTCAACCGCTCACTACTTATGAACCACTCAGGACACAATTTAGCACAATTATGATAATATATGGTCATATCGCCCACACCAGAGGGTCACTTTAAGGTCTAATGACCACAGGGATGTGGAGAAATTGAGGCCAGAGTGAACTGCCAATCTGCTGGCTCCACGCTCTAGAAACCGATCCAGAGACCCGAGGGCTTTCTGGCTGTCTGGACGGCACGGCCGGCTCCCTACAGGTACCGAGAACAAAAGACACAGAGATAACAAAGAAGGAGAAAGCACAGAAACGATAAACACAGAGAGCGAAGAGGGGAGATGATTTTGGTCCCAGTTCTACCTTCCGCAGCGGGGTGCTTTCCAAACAGCGCTGTTGCATAACTAACTCCTGAGGAGCGCAGCGGATTAGCCGTAGCCGAAGTCCAGCTAGGTGACCTCAAAAAGAGAGAAAAGGGAGAGGGGAAGCATGGGAGAGAGAGATAGAGAGCTGGAGAGCGAGAGATAAAAGGAAGAGAGAGAAAGAGAGAGGCGTGCTGTGTTGATTCTGTCCTATCTAACAGGGAAAAGCGCTCAGGGCCCCGGAAGCTGTGTGGGAGCGTCAGAGCTTAATGATCCAGAGAGGTTTGTGTTTTGGGAAGCTTTTCGCTTAACTAAGTGCGAGATGACTGATGGTGAGAAAGATTGATGTGAGATGAAACGGTGAGAGTTCTTACAGGCTGTGTATAAATCAGCCGTGGCACCGGACTGGCAGGCTAAAGCTGATAGCTCCATTGGTGCTCTAGCTGCATATCATCTGCTGATAAAGAAGGGAACTTTTGGAAAGGTCAGGAACTCAAATCCCTCGGAAGATAAGCCGCATTAACAACAATGAACATTTCGCCAGCTCACAGCCAAAGGTTAGAGCACTGCACATACTGTTCCTACTGGAGATGGCACGATAGCACCAACAACGATATTGAAACCTTGAGTATCGGCTGATTAAACACTTTTAAAACTTCTTTGGAGAGGCTATTTTTATTGAAACACTCCATTTAACCCTTGTGTGGTGTTCAGGTCTGTGGGATGAATTTTCAATGTTTACCAAAAGAAAAAAATGATACGATTTATTAATATTTCAACCCCAGATTTCTTGGCCTTTGCTCATTTTCTCTGAAGAACATATAAACAATTTTCAGTGCCTGTTCACCCCCCACACATTTAAGGTCAAATAAAACTAAAGCATGATAAACAAAGTTATGAATATTGTCTCAGCGCTTCCTGCTCTTTATCAGAGTCGCCGCTCTCAGTTTCAGTCTCCATTTCCCAAACGCTTTAGCCGAGCGCGCTAACGTTACTCCTCCTAATAAACAGACACACGTTCAGCTCCGTCTCCTCATTATTCACCACCATCACTGTAATATTTTATCATCATCAACATGAAGCTAATAAGAGGGCGGTGGAGATCGAGTCTGCAGCGTCTGGGGTTTTAAACGCTGTTAGAAAAAAACTCGCAAGTCAAAGTCAAAGCAGCGTTTTCAGTGTAGATAAATGTGGCGTCATTATGCTGATTATAGTGAACTGAGCTGCCTATCAGTGCATAAAACAATAGAAACAGACGGTTAAAACAGAAGTTAAGACGCTCTGGGGTTCATCTTAAAGTTAAGAAAATATTTAGGATATTTTGGCAACTTAAGGTGTTTCTGTAAAACCGTTTTCTTATCTGGAAATAAGATAATAGACTTAAGAACTGTTGTTCTGTAATGGCTTCTGTCCTAACTTATCTTAAGTGAAGTTGCCATGACAACAAAGCTGATCTCCAACTTAAGAATTTTCTGTAATACTAGATCGAAATATCTGTCTGATGCTGATCAATTTTTCAAGCGAACATCTGCCGATACTGACACGATTCCAGTATCACTGTGCATCTCTAGTATCTGTTGCCAGTATTAAGAATTTAATGAAGGAGCAAAAGCATCAATTCATTTCTCTTGATGTTTGCCTGTGTCACAAACCACCACTCTGAACAACCAAAAACATGAGCAGAAGTAAAATTCACAGTCTTTCTGAGTTAAGTAAGTATTTGACCCCAATTAATGCTGGGTGGAATTGATAATATCACAGTATTTTCTGAATATCAGATATTTAAGAATTAATAAAGATAAAAGCTAACAGTAATAATGAATGCACTGATGCAGACTCTTCATGATCAGTTCTGATTTCTTTACAACCAAACTGGCTGAGGGGTGACTTTAACTTACTTTTATTTTGCCTGATGTGCACCTCAAGGAGCATTCCACTGATATTTCAAAATTTTGCACAATTTAATAATTAAGACGTAAATAAAGTCATTCAGAGTAGCTTGATGTGAAATACTCTGTTCTAGAGAAATTTACGGAGTCACAGTGGTGGTGATAGGAACCAGATGTCTGACCTCTAACAGCTCACTTCTGAGATTTACTACTGAGAAGTTCTGGCCTGATTTTAAAGACCGTGCAGGGCACTGTGAGGCAAAATAGCCCCCCCAAAAACACATTTCTTCAGATTTAACACTATTTCACCATCAACATTACATACAAAACTCAGAAGACTCGTGTTGGTTCACTGGTGGTTCTGGATAGTAAATAAAATGTCTATATTTGTGTTGTAGTCATAGCGACCCCTGGTTCCTATCACCACCACTGTAACGAAACCTGACCCATTTCGCACCAAACCACCCTGAATGACTCTGTTTACATCTGAACGACTGAATTAGGCAGAAATTTTGCAAAGTCAATGGAGTTCCCCTTTAAAAATGATAAATAGGCTGATACCCCATTACATATTTTGAGCAAAAATCTGCTGATCTACCAATCTCTTATTGGTAAATTCCAATTATGTATCCCTAATAACTAGAAGTACTAAGCTACCATTATTAAAGTTAATAATTCAGCATTTACAAAGTATTAAATGTCTAAAGATGCTGTTAAACAAGCCCAAACACACACAAACAGGCAGACATGGCAGTGAAAGCACTGGTCCACAGTATTTGTATTGAGCTGAGCTCTCATTGGGACTCTACCTTACAAATAACTACTCAGACAACTCTTTAAACAAGACAGACGTGCAGCACTTTGATCAGACCCGTCAGGTCTGACCGCGAGCGAGACTCCTGCTCTTCCTTCAGCGTAAGTATTTTATCAGAAGCTACGTCTAAATCACTCACTGTTGCTTTGCGTACTGCAGGCAAATGAGCAGAAGCGAAGGTCTGTAAGCAATTTCCAGTTTCACTGGTAACTGGATTGACTCCTCCAAATAAAAAAATCTTTGATTCGGTTCCCTAAATAAATCTAACATTTAAAACCCTTTCAAACCTCTGTTCTCGTTTCTCTCTCAGCCTCTTTTTCATGCTTTTCTTCTCTCTCTGCCCTTCAGGGGAGGCCAACTCGTTCTTAGGAAAAAAACAAAAAAACAAATCATTCATCAAATGAAGAGGGAAGAAGCCAAAGGGAGAAAAACCTGCCTGATCTGGACCAGGGGAGCCTGTAAAAGAGGAATCTCGAGCTGATGAGGATCCAGGCCAAAATAAATGTATACAGAAGCACAGCCGGCGCACCGTCCAACACCGGAACAGCCTGACCTGACATGCCAATGCGGCTGAGGTCATCTATTCATTTTTATGAGTGTTTTGAGCCGATGTTTGTACTCCAATAGTGTTAGTTAGTGCTTTACTGACCTGACTGTCGGTTCTGGATGGTCACTCTTCTTAAACTCACAGGAAAGGGAAAAACAAACAAATTCTAAAATGATATAAAAATAATAAAAATACCGTGGCTTGGGGCGGACCTACCCAGAATTCATTGCGTTTTTGGTTTCTGTTAATAATCTTTTATTTTTCCTATTTTTTTTATTTGTTCTCTTATTTAAAATGTGGCAATGCTTTGCATGAACCTTGTTACGTAACACTGACATAGCCATGCCATAAACATGTCACAGCAGATTAAACATTTAAATAACATGATTTGTTCGGTAATATAAGTCATGACAGATGCCAATATTTTTGATGTCATGATGACAAACTAGGGCTGGGCAGTACGACCATGTTTATCATTATCATGATAAATTATGCCACAACTGTCATAATACGTTATTCTGAGGATATTGTGGATGTCATCAGTACAACACTCACCACCTGCACGTCTGATTACAAAAACAGCATATTTGTTCTTGGATTTCAAAACATGAAATGTTGAATATTAATTACTGTGTTCAGTTTTTGATAGTAATTTAT